AATTATGTTCCAATCTAAATCAAAACGACAACTCATGACAAGTTTCCACTGTCTAAAGACCTACAGCAAATAAAGCATAAAAAAGCCAAAAAAAAAGAGTAAAAAAAGCTGCACTATTTTCTAGCACTATATATATTCTCTCATAGAAAAAAAATAATAAAATAATTATTTCAGACATATTCACAGTTCAAAAGTTATTCCAGCTCTCAAGCACAATGCAAATGTCTGTTGTTGCAAATGATTGTCCATCTACAGTTCTTCAGCTACTTCCAAAGTTTTCCTGGAATAGTTTAGCTGCAATCCATAAGTAATCTGTTAGCCATCGATTTATAAGTAAAATGTGGCGCAGTGCAATTTAGGATCTGTGGTTTCAGGCAATCACTTGAGTGCTTTCAAAATGCCTAACAGAATGTCACAGTGACATTTTTAATGCTGCTTGAATATTTATATTGAGTGCCCAGAAAAAAGCCAAGCAAATGAAAGAATTTAAGCAAACAGAATTACAGCTCAATTGACTACAAAACAAAACTTCCCCTACGATGTAAAATACTGGAATTTAAGAGTGTTTTTCCTCTGAGCCTGAAAAGTCACGAATTGATTTATGCAAGAATCACTTTCAAGGCTATTGGAAGTTGTGTTCTAGAGATTTCTACGACAATCCTGTCTAAAGCATCATATTTCAATGTCCTATAAACACTTTCTACATTAAAAAGAAATAAAACCAAATAAAAAAACTGGTGAAGAGACAGATTTATTTTTTTAAATTATGTGGAAGGGCCAGAGCACTAGCTCAGAAGCCTGCAACTGAAAAGCCCCAGACACCTAGGAAAGCTAAATTCTCCTACTAATGCCATGCAAGAAAAAAAACAGAACCTTTTTATTGACTTAAAACAGGTTTTATTGCAACTCGTAACACAAGCTGCCAAGTGAAATATAGAATTTTTAAAAATATGAATCAATGAAGCCTCCTCAAACTCATTGGCTTCCAAACCGCATTATTACACTGATATTTAAGATTACAAAAAAGAACTTGCTCCAGAGAATTCTGCACCAGGCTGATGAGCTGTACAGTTAAATCAACTTAATGGAATGTTAAGAGAACATGAATATGGAAATGGCAAGCTGAAAAATGGAGCTATAGGCAATTCACGTGAAGGGCAAGGTCCTCAAAGACACTGCCCTTCAGTGCATCCGAGAAACACACAGAGCAGCAGCCAGAATTTCAGCATCGTGCTATTGTGGAAGAAGGAGAATAACGTGTTAAAGAAAAGTTAAGTTTTAGTCTGGTACAAAATCATTTTCATTAACATCAGATTTCTTTGAATCAGGGTAGAAGTTATTAAATCTGCAGCAGAGAGAGCACTGACTGCAGCTGGGTTTCAGCAGATACTACTGTGTAGAACCTGTCAACATGAAAGCAGTGCTGGTGTCAACCATCACTTGCCCCCAGGATCTCAAAACGCTTCCTCAGGAAGGCAGAGCTGCTCAGGCACTTCTGCCGTGTCCTCGGCTTTGAACACGGCTACACAGCAGCAGTTGAAGAACAGAGTGCTTTTAAGAAATCTGAAGCCTAAGAGGGGTTCAATACAAGCTCGACTTCCTAGTCACAGAGATCTAGAGGTCTTAGAGCTTGTTCTGGAGCTCCCTCTTGAGGTTCGATACTACCCTATATTAAAGACATTGCTATATCCTCAAAACTGATCCTACTCAAAACGAGAGTGTGTTGTTCCAAGAGAGAGATTGTCAAAGGCATCCCCTCAAAGCTCTGCACACTGCTTTCTAGAGAGCATCAGAAGCTTTTGAGTTACAAGCACTGCAGTCTTAAAGAGATGGTGAGAAGATAAGCAGACATTAAACATGGGAAGATAAACCCAAGAGGCTTCACTTACACACCTTTGGTAGCCAGTGCAGGAGCACCACAGACAGTAAAACCTCTGCTATGGTGAGTCATGGAGTGGAACAGCACACATTTGATGATGAGAAATTAATAGTGTTGTCTCTTTGTAAAGAAAATGCAACTTCATTTGATTTATTTAAGGCTGTTAACGTGTCCCACTCTTCGGGTGACTTTCTAGCTACTCTAAGCATCCCCGTCTCCTTGCTGGAGCTTCCTCCTTCCACAAAACCCAATGCCATTACTCCATCACCTTTGTTGCCACAAGCTGCTACATGGGCTGACATCTCTGTTTTTTCAGGTGCTGAATAAGTGTCTGCCAAAGTTAAAAAAAACTCTTTAAACTGTTTCTGCTTAAATTTTACTCTCAAACTCAGTATTTTCCACAAGGTCTAGACGGCTTCCACACCAAAGAAGCTTTCAACACAGAAATATCTGAGAAAAAGAATTTTTCCAATCTCCTGTTGAGAATTTTTTCCTCTCCCACAATAGCCAAAGGTTCAAAATCAGATGGCAAAGGAAGTCTTTGGAAGCAGTGCAAGAGTCAAAAGAACAAGCCTTGTCTATGATGGCCATATTTTACCATTGCTGAGCGCCCACTCAGCACCTTCCTTGGTCCCTGAACAAACATCCATACTGGCCAGCTGAGTCACTGATGACTACCTGCTGCAATACTGTTGAGAATATCAAATCTGTGGGAATGGATTTCTATAAAAATCCATAATTGAGAAAAGATTCTTCTTCTTCTTCTAGTTCCAAGGAGGTTCTCCCTGCTATTTCTTTAATAAAAAAAATATTTTTAACCCTTCCAGGTCAAGCTGTGAGGTCTTTCACAGATTATCAGGGATCAAGGTCACATCATTTTAAGTCTTATATAATTTTAAATCTTACATCCTATGACAAGGCTTGTAGTTTTAGTAAGCTTTTCTATTTTAGGGCAGAACAGATTTCAACTTCAATGTCTCAGAAGAGCAACACACAGTTTTTTCAGTTGTCCTTAGTGATTACAGTAACACTATAGAAACACACAGGTCTAGAGAGATGCTAGCTCCTCCCACTGCATGCCTTACTGTGCTGGAAAACCTGCAAGATATTTCATAAATGCAGCCCTTAGATTGATACATCAGTTCTGAAACTGACTTGTTGTTTTCAGATGCCGGTTTACAGTCAGATCACCTTCTAAAGCAACACAATTTTTTTTATTAACCCTTTTTGCTAGTCTCCCTCCTCTACATTATGTGAAAAAAGACAAAACAAACAAAAAAGAACTAACAAATTCCCCATACTAGCTAGAATCAGATCTTATTCAATCAGCACAGAAGCTTGCGGAAATTGTGCACAACTCATCAGTTATACCAAGTACAAGACTAAAACAAATGGCTTGGAATTTGTACCTAGAAACCATCCCTCTCCTGCCAGAGGGGACTGACCTGAGCGTTTTAGCTCCCTACAGCCAAAAGACATCACAATAAGCTACCCAAAATATCAAAGCAAGTTGGGAATACATACCACAGCCCATGTTAGGTCCTAAGTAATTTTCTAGAAGTTAAAGATGTTTTCTTACTTTTCATGGTGCCTTCCTCCTCTTCATCCTCTGTGTTTATGACCATTGTACCCAACTGGGATTCCAACGTGCCATCATGTTCTATCATTGTGTTGGCTCCATCACTCATCGTGTTGACAGCTCTTATAGTACCAGTTTCGTCTCCACTCGCTCTCACCATGGTGCCTGAATCGGTTTCATCTTCTTCCTGCTCAAGGATGCCATAAATACATTTTTACTGATGGTGGTGAAGCCCCATGAAGAGTGTCTGTATTCAAGGACACTGGCAAGACTTACTAATTCAGAGATTGTTACAAATACACACGGAAGCCAACGACATTTTATTTTATGCACTTAGTTCTCTCCCCATCATCTCCAGGCACAAAATGAAAAGTCTTCATACTTTTGTGCCAGCTTCAGAAATAAGAGAACAGATAAATTAGCAAAAACTTCTCAATGCAACGTGTATCTCATTTCTGACCTAGCAACCTGTCTGTAAGAGTAGATTACAATACTCATTTAGTCATTAGTGTTTCTATTCATGTTGCCAGTTTTAACAGTTGACCTAAAACCCCTGTCTCAGGTGGTACAGGTCACTGAGGGGTTATTAGACAGCAACAGGTCTAAGTCTGGAGTGCATGTGGCACGCTGTAGAAAAATGATCACCCTATTTTTTAAGGAGTTTGTCTTTAGCATTTAGGAAGTTTTACGTGCTATAAACTTCAGAAGCACTGAAGAAAAATTAACTGAATTTGCAAATCTTCAAAAAGGAATGAAATTATCAAAGTCCAGTCATTTTATTCAGATTAAAATTATTTCTTATCCTTCTATTTGTTAACAGGCTGTAATATTATAGAAGTTTGAATTACTGCTGTGAAGGCTCAAGAGACCAACTCTACAGGGAAACACAAGCTCCTGAAACAAATTCTCGTAGGACAGCTTCCTGGCAGGTAATTATGTTAGCCAGATGTAGTAGTTTCATTACTCAGTGTGTGCTTCACCAAGTATTTATTGTAACTAGGATTTAATGAAAAACCAGGTCAAAATTTCCACAGTCTATGTAGTTTCTTGGAAATGTAGACCAGGTATCCTGCTACAACAACAGAAGTGATTTCCTAGGTTTACAGCAGAGCTTCTGGGCATCTCATCTCGGATAAGATGCTTGTGTTTTGTTACAAAGGTGAAGTTCAAAGTTCTTTACGTGTGACCACAGGCTTACTGATCTGTATTAGTGCTAGAGGGAAAACACAGGTCTCACACATCAAGCTGTAACATTCCATCTCAATGTCCTTGAAAGAAAGAAGTACATCCCTGCACATTCTGGTGTTCCATGCATTGCATCTCTTCTGTCAAGGGTGCCTATACAATTTACTTCCCAACCTCAAAACCAATAGCAAGAGGAGGATAAAACTACATGAGATGTTAATGGAGGAAAAGTAATTTTATGTGGAGATGAGTGGGTGAGAGGAAGTAATCGATTTGCTAGCTACACATCATTTAACAAAGGACTACAGCAGAAATTTCCACAGCACTTGGGAAGTGCTCAGGAACACTTTTCTGCTGGCAGACACAGAGTAGAGAAGCTTCAGGGAAACACATAGTGACGGAGACCAGTCAACTCCACTACACAGACACCTTCTCTCAGCAATCTGACTCCAGATCAGTCAGAAATTAAGGAGAGAGGGTAGGGACAATACTATTAGAGTCAACAACATGACAACATGACCAAAGTTACTTCCACACTGAAGAAACAGGTGGTCCTGAACCGGAAAACAAGATGAACTATGTCTTCAGCATAGATACTGTGGGCCATGCTATTCAAGTCTAACCTCTGAAAAGGACTCTGGCATACGATGCCTTTTCTTGCCCATTTCATTTATTCAGGTTGAAGCAGGCAGAGGCTCAAAAAACAGCTTTCAACATGCTTTCCATATTCACATGCTGTAACCACTGAAATAAGGAGCCCAAACTTCAATTCACAGCAATCCCCTGGACACTTGTCATGCCCTCACCTCAGGTTTCTGTCGGTTGCTCTTGTGTAGTAGAAAGTTTCTATAAAGGGGGTTCTAAAGCACAACAGTAAAACAACATATTTATATCATAGTGCATCACAGATGATATTATAATTGTGTACTAGGAGAGCAGTCTAAGAACTGCATCTACAATGAAAAATTCATCTTTACTGCATAAATAATAAAATCCAAATGTATCAAGTGTTTTGCAGACACTACTTGTAGAGTTGTTCAATCACAGGTCTCCAGCTACACTCTAAGCTAAACAGTAAGCCATACATGCTGGCTGTCCCACTCAAATATAAAGACTAAGCAAGGACCAAGCATCAGGTTAAGCAGTCAAAGTATAAAACTCGAGAACTAAATGAAATCCACGGGCAATTGGACAAAATAGTGCCAAAACAAAAACCAAAGCAACTAAGCCTTATGAAAGGAGCAAGAGTTTGGACTTTGTATGCTGTTGCTATTAAATACTCACTGAATTTTCTTCATCTTCTTGATCTAGTTCACGCTGTTGTGCCTCTTGACGTTTCAGCTTGATATCCATTGCCTCATTAATCAAGTCTCGCAGAATTGACACTCCTTTGGCACTTTTAACAAATGGATGCTGAGAAGTATTTTAAAAACAAATAAGCACTGCATCCGAACCAAGATATAACAGGAAAACATTGTTACTATGGCCTACTTCCAATTCAAATTAAGGTTTAACTCGAATACAATACTACAATAAAAATCCACTACTTCTGCTTGGCACAGGAGGGAGACCTCCCACCCTCCAAACAAAATCACTTGGGCTCATTCCCCTCCCACAACTCCCCTTATTTCTTTTCTTAGCAGCTTAGCTGTTGAGAACAAATTACACAGATCATCATCATGCCTAGACCATTTGCAATCATTAGCAATTCATTTAGCCTCCCCTTTTTAGTGTTTTAAGAGGCAGTTTCTTGGCAGTGCTGGTGAAAATTTGAAAGTAAAAAAAACCCAACCAAACAAACAACAAAACTAAACTCCAAAAGCCAAACAAACAAAAAAAAAACCCAGAGAAGACAAAGACAGGGAGTTGACATTAGACTGGTTCTTAGAGAACTGAAAAGTTGAAGTTGAGTGTAAGATTTGTTTAGAATCAGATATTAAAAAGTAAAATCTGTAGTGAACAGGAGCAGCACGAAATGAAACCAACATCTCAACAGACGTGCAGCATTGCCTACCCTAGCCAGCCTTCCCTAGAGCTTATGTTCTTGTAAGAAAAGGCAGACCTGCAGAAGTTGTGTTGCAGTGGCACGCTGCTCCGGGCTCTTAACAAGACACTGTTTTACAAAGTCTGTGAAATTGTCTGACCAGAGCTCTGGTTTCCGGAACGTTGGAGGTGGATTGGTAGGAATCATAAAAATTGCCTGAAAACAGAAGAATATTCCAGGTTTCCAAACAAAGTTTAAAGCTTTCCAACAACACAACATAAATACACACAAACATACAGTGGTACTAAAGAACAATACATTTAAAGTTTGCACTCCTGAATCATTTGTGCCAATATTATACACAAATTCCCTCAGATGAATCAAGCAGCAAGAAATCAGCCTTTTCTCACTAGGTGCTTACACTTCTGTCCAAGCCACTACATGCCCCAAATGGCATGAATCTGCCATTTTTACATCTTAAAAGTCTGTGCTTGCATTTAAAAAAAAAAAATAAAAATTGCTTTGGATAATACAGCTGAAAATAAGTTTCTTCACACCCAGCACAAGGAGATGCAGCTATGTCTTAACAGAAGAGAATTATGATTTTCCTTCCCTTCTCAAAGACCCATTTTTCATTTAATTACAAAAAAACTGTCAGAAAACAAAAAATTTACTCTGAATCAAAAGCAAGGTGGCATGTTGATATGTTTTCCACCCAGCTGTAATAGCAAAACCTTGCCATATAGCACAACATTTTAGAAGGCCACAGTCCTTTACCCTCATAGGATGAATATCTGCATAGGGTGGTTTGCCTTCAGCCATTTCTATTGCAGTGATTCCCAGAGACCAGATGTCTGCAACACAGTTATACCCAATTTCTTGAATCACTTCTGGAGCCATCCAAAACGGGGTCCCTATAACTGTGTTCCGCTTTGCCATGGTGTCCTGAGAAAAGCAGGATAAAGATTCAGACAATGGCAACTGTATTAGCCATAAACATTCATTAATGAATTATCATGCTAATTATCTTCCACTTGCATGCATGTACATTATTAGACTCAGCAAGACTGGGATACAGAGGGCTGCAAAGAGGAATTGAAATGTGCCTACAGAAGTTATAAATATCCTGAAGGAAACGGCAAATGGTATTACAAACCATTATTTAGGCACAGCAGCTCCCACGGAGGAAGCTCTGCTCTAATCTGTTGCTGATTTATCATCTCATTACGTTGATGTAAAGTGCTAAAACCCAGTTTAGAACAATTTCTGAAAGTCTCCACAAGCATATCATTCTCGTATGCAGGTTAAAAAGATAAACCAAAGCATACACAACCATCTGGGGTTTACTTACTGTAAGTTGTCCTGCCACTCCAAAATCTGCAAGTTTGGCATGTCCTTCTGTATTTAGCAAAATATTTCCAGCTTTGATGTCCCTGTGTATTTTCCTCATAAAATGCAGGTACTCTAGTCCTTTCAATGTTGATTGCACTATTGTAGCAATTTCCTCCTCTGTGAGCTAAAGAGAAGAAGAGTTACTGCCTACTCATCAGTTACTGATATATAACACCATTGGGTTTCAGCCTATGTTTTCCCAGTATTCACTAATTGCCATTTAATTGCCTTCCATAAAGGTTACCATACTAATGGGAAATCAGTTATCGACTTACAGTATTATGTAGTAGAACTACATTACAACCAGCATACATATACCCATGCACCATACTTCACATACCCTTTCTCAACAAGTAATTCTTACCCTGCAATAACCAAAGTAAGACAGAGCCTGTTATTCAGATGGGTTTTCAGGAAAGCCAACAAACCCAAATCTGCTCCATCAGTTACATTACCCACATAACCAAAACTCGATCAATGTAATCAGCCTTCTCATTTTTAGAGGAACAAAGAACCTGCATCTCAAGTTCTGGACAATGGTTGTGCGAGGCATTGAACACCGTGAGAATTATGCTCAAACTACTCGGCTTCCTGGAGCTGCTGGACACCCATATTTCCCATTCATACATTCAAAGGACGTACAGTTTTATTTCGCAATCGAATAATATCAGACACAGATCCAGCGCCGCAGTATTCCATGACTATCCACAGGTCTGTGTTCTTAAAATAGCTGCCGTAATATTTCACCACATGAGGACTATGAAATGTGAAAAAAGGAGAAGAAAACAAAGGGTCAAACACCAGTAACCAGCATAACTGAATAAGCACAATTCTCTGCAGAGTCCCTAAGTATGTTTTAGAAATTCAGAGTTGAGTGTCGCTGAAACCCTGATCAAATGTATTTCTAAACAGTCTGAACTTGCACATGACTACTGCAGTCCAGCCAAGCCTCTTCCCCACAGCGGTGCTCACCTGACCTGCCAGTAGGTCAGTTCAGGGAGCTAAACTGTTTGAAAATAAGTCCTACAGAAACAAGGAACAATTAGCAATTAGCCTTCAATCTGGTTTAGCTCCCTGAACTGGACTACAACAGGGTCAGTGCTGTGGCAACCGAGAAGGCAGGACAAAGGAATAAGAAACGGGCCACGGCAGTCCCTGGTAAAGCTGCTGCAGAGCATTTGCAACCAAATGCAAACGTTAAATAAGGTCCCAGGTTTGCTGGAAAATAGTGATCGTGTTCATTACAAGCAATGTTCCCCCACTACCACACACACCTACTTCTTTCTATGATTTAGTCCAGGATGTATTTTAGAAATCCAGAACAATCTAAAACTGTCTCTCACAGCCAGTGATCTGGCTGCCCAAAAAGCAAACAACCTAGTAAAGTACACGGAGCAGAAGAACCACCTGTCCTCTGGAAAAGGTAAAGCAGAAACCTAACAGAAAGGCTGATTGTGATTTTGTGGAAACAGAGTTAAGGGACAAAAGTGCCCTTGATCTATTCCCTGCTGAATATTTTGTCATGGGAAACTGTAAACCTAGCAAAACAAAGTCAGTCACACTGCACAGTGTCCCCTAATGCTTGCACAGAAAACATGAAGCTCCAGTGATGCACTCCCTCTGCTGTTCATGACTGTAAGGTCTCACTTTACGCCTCACAATGTTAATACTTAAATTTATTTTAAGAAAGAGACATCTAGTAACACTTCCCAGGTTACACAGTAATATTTTTCACACACAGCTTATTTTAAAGTTACACTTTGTTGTCTGCCACCAGTCACCTTAATTTCAAGACAGTGAGAGTAAAGTGCAATGCAGTGACTAGGACCATGGTTTTCTATTGCTAAAGTAATTTATTTTAAAAGGTTTTCCATGGCTGAAGTCCATCAAAGTAGTGCTTTTTAAGGCTAAATTCATAAACCCAGAAGAAATTAGTACATTGCAAACTCTCAGCCTAGGACACACTTTGAGAGGAGGTCTTCTGTACCCACGAGCTCCTCATTAGCTAAGTTATCACAACATCTTTTCTTATAAGAAACATGCAAAGACAACCCAGAGAGCAAATCATCAGCCCGCAGAGCTGCCAGCAAGTTATTCTGGGGATGCTCAGATCAGCAGACAGCTTGTACTGCACTAGAACCTGCACAGGCAGAAAACAGCCAGGAAGGACAACTCTGCCACTCAAGCAGATGACAGCAGGTAGATTATGCACATGCAAGAGCAGTCGTGCATTAGTGGCGCTCATCCACGTGCCCCTTAAAAGCAAACAAACAAAAATCCCTCTTCTAACAGTTTTCTATGTCCCTACCAGAAGTTGTTTAGAAGTCACTACCACTTTGGGCATGGGAACTGCTGTTCTAGCACACAATCAAGTTACCACCGTTCAACAAGTGACGGCGCATGGGGAGAACCAGAGGAACTGCTCACACGCTTGGCTCTTTGCTGGCAGCAAGTGCAAGGTTATTCAGTTTAGCTCAACGTTCACTTGGTGCAAGCTGAATTTTCATTGTCTTACCTTTGCTTGGATTAACACTACTCAAGTGGTCAGTTAACATGACTCAGCTGATACGAGGTAACTTGATCGTGCAAATCCAGCCTTTTAAAAAACATTTAAGGCAATATCATGGCTTTTATTTGATTAAATGCCAGATCACAGACATCACTGTTCTTTGCACACTGATTATGGGTTCTGCAGGATACATTTACCTGTCACATTGCTGCATTATGGATATTTCCTTTATAATCTCTTGCAGGTCAGATTCCACCGGAACTTGTTTAATTGCAACAACTTGACCCGTTTCTTTATGAATGGCTTTGAACACGCTGCCATAGGAACTATGAAACAAAATAGTAAACAAACACTGAATACAGTAACATTTTAAAAATATAAATGCTATGGCTTTGCTTTTTGCAAGTGCAGACATCAGGTGAGAAATTACTATCCTCCTGCTAAAAATATTCTGTATTTTAACGTAAATAATCAGTCCACTAGCTTCTAAACACTAAAATAATACAAATAAATCACAGCACACTGAGACAGTCAGAAAGGAGCCAAACCTATTTGCACTGCTCATAGCTTTGGAAGGGCCTTTTACACAAATCCAACACATACAATTCTCTCTTTTTCTAGCATACAGTACCAGCTGAGCATCAGTAAGAACTGCAGCTCTGGTCAGAGAGGTTTGCTTGCTCCTGTCAGATAATATCCATCTTATTTCCAGCTTCTTTACGTACAGCAGCAAAGCAGATTTACAACTCAGTTTTTTTCAAATGAGCTGCTTAAGAAGGCAAACATGTCACCCACTGAGTGTTCCCATGCTGCTCTCCCTTACCAAGTGGCACAATGCAACAGAAGTTCATTTCCACCACGTGGATCTTCCGCAAGAGGTATGAGGGATGAACTATAAAACCTCTCGAGTTCCCACAGAGCCCTATCAACTCCAGATTGGCACTTTTCAATAATGTTTTAACTCCCTCCTGCTGAGCCATAAGCTACTGTTTGGCTTAAGATATCTTACTCTTGGGAAACAAATTATTGTGTTACTAACCACACACAGTCACTGTGCTAGTGCATAACTTTGCAGTAACAGAATAATGACAAAAGTGAAAAATCAGAGACCACTGAACACGTATTCATTACAGAAATTTGTTTGGAGAGAAAAGTACATTGGGCATATTTGCACAGAACACATACCCTTCCCCGAGCTTCTCCAATACATCAAATACTTCTTCAGGTTGTTTGGTTAAACTGTCTTCATCTAACTTCTTCAGCTGCCTGTATGTGTAAGAAAAAGATAAATTATTACATTTAATTTTATGGCAGTTTGGGCTTTGCTGAAACAGAAGAAATAGCACCATTTAAACGTATGCAAGGCTTTGCATGAAGTAAGTTGATTACAAAGTAAATTTACTTCACCTGACCAGAAGACTGAATATTATTAGCATCCAGTAGCAAAAGAGGACTGGGAATTACAGAGAACAGAATTTGAACAGGCACACAAATCTACAGTTCCTCTTGGTGGAAATGAATCTCAGGATCTATATGCTGGTGGTTAAATCCCAATGCAGCACTGCAGAGTCTCGCAGCTATTGAACATACCTGCCAAAGTTAAAAATCTTGAATGGAAGGATACATACTAAGGCCGTGCAAAAGGGAAGATGATCTTCCCTGATGCCTTAGAATATATGTGGAATACATTTGTTGGGAGGAAAGAAGCCAAACTGATCTCACTTGCACGTTTTTAACACCAGAAGTTCAGATCTTGACTTTGTGGGCCTCAACACACACTAGGAAAATCCTATCAGGGAAAAAAAAGTAAACAAAACCAGTATCTGACTCTTTCAGGATTTTAATGCTGCTTGGTCCATCCCTCTTAAATGCACTGCGAGTAAGAGTCAGCTGAAATACTTCCTAGGGAAAAAAAAACCATGCTATGTACTACGATCCTCCATTTCACACCCCCCCCAGTATAACCTTCAGGGAGATTTCACAGACAAAGCAACAAGATCAACCACATCTGTTTCAGTCCATCTCTACTACACCAGAGAGGAGTTCACCAAGAAACTTCCCGAAACAGCTAAGGACTACATTAAAAAAAAAAAAAAAGTACTGAAAATAGAGTATTTTACTGTCAAACAAACTGTATCCAACAACCCACAAAATGCTCTTTCATTTTCACACAAACTAAAAACAAAATATTTTGAAACAACAACATAAAAAAAACCCCACAAAAAATACCAAAGCCAAAAAACCTCCAAACTCCCCAGCTCATACAAGTTTTTGAAACACAGAAACTTATTAGTCTGTGAGTTTTCAGAACTTACTGGTCCCACAAGGAGCAGTGTTTAAAATGAAACACGCGTGGTTGCCTGCAACTGCAAATTACTACTGAAAGCTCTTACTGCTGCTGTTAAAGATCTCGACTCCAGCCACAGGCATGCTGATTTTGATACTAAATATGTAATTATTTCCCCTCAATTTCTTCAGAAACTGAGTGAGAAACCACTCATTGATCCCTGGCTATTATGTTTATGCACAAAAGCCATACAGAAGGAGCAGCTCACGCATGGGGTACATACAATGGCTTCCTGAAGCAAAGGAAACATTATAAAGAAGCAGACTCAGGAAGTGGTGAAATACTGAAAGTAGTCACTAGCTTCCCTGCAAAGATAAGTGTTAACTAACAGAATGTTACTTGTCCTTGGGAAAATGGGGAGGGAGGAAGGTGTGGGAAGAGCAGGAAAGGGAGGAAAGAAACCCCATATGTATCAGTGACCACACAAGCTGCCATTTCCAAGGAGCCCAACAACTGGCAACGCAAGAGGCAGATCCTTTTTGCTGAAGTTAATACGAGGCCCAAATTCTGTTTCAAAACAAACAAACAAATAAACAGTTTTTCATGCAGTTTTTCATGCAATAACCAGACAAGCACTGTGCTTGCGCAGAACCATCTCATTTCTGTGACAGTCCAGGAGCACAACTGCTCTGCACCGTGCAGCCTGTCCAGCGTGCTGGCTGCTGTCAGAGCCACGCTCTGCCTCTTCACCGTGTGTTTAGGTGACAAGGACAGAACAGCAACACAAAACCCATCTCACCGGAGTCGTTACTTGGATCTAACCTGAATCACCTTCCAGTTAAACGCTGGCATAACCAGTTATGGAATAAAAACAGATTTTTTTTTTTAATAGAAGATACACTGCTGGTTTTTAACAAAGGCCACGTCGCTGAAGAGCGGAGCTGGCAGCTGCCTTTGTCTGCGGCCGCAGCGTCCCCTGAGCCGACAGCACTCTGACAGACCCACACTGGGCTCCAGCTGCTGCCCATCGCCCCCTTCCTCCCTCCACAGACCTGCTGGGAGACCGGGGCTCACGGCTGCCTTCGAGGTCACCCCAACACCTCTCCATGAGCCGGACTCGCATCTCACCGGTGTGACCGGGCCCGGTAGCGGGAAGGCAGGTGTGAGGGGTGGGCACGGCACCTGCGGCTGACAGACCTGCACAGAACCGACCCGAAAAGAGACGAGCGGGAAGAATGAGCCCTCAGGGGCTCTGTCGTGACCCTCGGGACAGCCACGTTAACCGCTGCGACCCTCCGGGGCGCCTCCTCCACAGGCTCCGGTATCTCACCTGAAGCCATTTTCCCCCCACCCGAGCTCGGTGCTGTCACTGCACGGACCTACC